GAATTTTTTTGAATATTTTTTTTTTACGAAAATCGCTTTAATGGTCATAAAATTGGTGTTCCTCTACTCGGATTTGGCTGTCAATTTTTTTCTACACTTTTGGGTGTATTTTGTGCAAGAAATTGCAATAAAATAGTGTGCCTAAGTAAAATTGAATTTTTTTGAAAATTTTTTTTTTGACCTGGATGACATTTTGGTGCTTATAAGGGTCTTCCTCTACTCGGATTTGGCTGTCAATTTTTTTCTACACTTTTGGGTGTATTTTGTGCAAGAAATTGCAATAAAATAGTGTGCCTAAGTAAAATTGAATTTTTTTGAAAATTTTTTTTTTGACCTGGATGACATTTTGGTGCTTATAAAGGTCTTCCTCTACTCGGATCGAGCTGTCAATTTTTTTCTACACTTTTAGGTGTATTTTGTGCAAGAAATTGCAATAAAATAGTGTGCCTAAGTAAAATTGAATTTTTTTGAAAATTTTTTTTTTGACCTGGATGACATTTTGGTGCTTATAAAGGTCTTCCTCTACTCGGATCGGGCTGTCAAATTTTTTCTACACTTTTAGGTGTATTTTGTGCAAGAAATTGCAATAAAATAGTGTGCCTAAGAAAAATTGAATTTTTTTGAATATTTTTTTTTTACGAAAATCGCTTTAATGGTCATAAAATTGGTGTTCCTCTACTCGGATTTGGCTGTCAATTTTTTTCTACACTTTTGGGTGTATTTTGTGCAAGAAATTGCAATAAAATAGTGTGCCTAAGAAAAATTGAATTTTTTTGAAAATTTTTTTTTTACGAAAATCGCTTTAATGGTCATAATATTGGTGTTCCTCTACTCGGATTTGGCGGTCAATTTTTTTCTACACTTTTGGGTGTATTTTGTGCAAGAAATTGCAATAAAATAGTGTGCCTAAGAAAAATTGAATTTTTTTGAAAATTTTTTTTTTACGAAAATCGCTTTAATGGTCATAAAATTGGTGTTCCTCTACTCGGATTTGGCTGACAATTTTTTTCTACACTTTTAGGTGTATTTTGTGCAAGAAAATGCAATAAAATAGTGTGCCTAAGAAAATTTGAATTTTTTTGAAAAATTTTTTTTTACGAAAATCGCTTTAATGGTCATAAATTTGGTGTTCCTCTACTCGGATTTGGCTGTCAATTTTTTTCTACACTTTTGGGTGTATTTTGTGCAAGAAATTGCAATAAAATAGTGTGCCTAAGTAAAATTGAATTTTTTTGAAAATTTTTTTTTTGACCTGGATGACATTTTGGTGCTTATAAAGGTCTTCCTCTACTCGGATCGGGCTGTCAATTTTTTTCTACACTTTTAGGTGTATTTTGTGCAAGAAATTGCAATAAAATAGTGTGCCTAAGAAAAATTGAATTTTTTTGAATATTTTTTTTTTACGAAAATCGCTTTAATGGTCATAAAATTGGTGTTCCTCTACTCGGATTTGGCTGTCAATTTTTTTCTACACTTTTGGGTGTATTTTGTGCAAGAAATTGCAATAAAATAGTGTGCCTAAGTAAAATTGAATTTTTTTGAAAATTTTTTTTTTGACCTGGATGACATTTTGGTGCTTATAAGGGTCTTCCTCTACTCGGATTTGGCTGTCAATTTTTTTCTACACTTTTGGGTGTATTTTGTGCAAGAAATTGCAATAAAATAGTGTGCCTAAGTAAAATTGAATTTTTTTGAAAATTTTTTTTTTGACCTGGATGACATTTTGGTGCTTATAAAGGTCTTCCTCTACTCGGATCGAGCTGTCAATTTTTTTCTACACTTTTAGGTGTATTTTGTGCAAGAAATTGCAATAAAATAGTGTGCCTAAGTAAAATTGAATTTTTTTGAAAATTTTTTTTTTGACCTGGATGACATTTTGGTGCTTATAAAGGTCTTCCTCTACTCGGATCGGGCTGTCAAATTTTTTCTACACTTTTAGGTGTATTTTGTGCAAGAAATTGCAATAAAATAGTGTGCCTAAGAAAAATTGAATTTTTTTGAATATTTTTTTTTTACGAAAATCGCTTTAATGGTCATAAAATTGGTGTTCCTCTACTCGGATTTGGCTGTCAATTTTTTTCTACACTTTTGGGTGTATTTTGTGCAAGAAATTGCAATAAAATAGTGTGCCTAAGAAAAATTGAATTTTTTTGAAAATTTTTTTTTTACGAAAATCGCTTTAATGGTCATAATATTGGTGTTCCTCTACTCGGATTTGGCGGTCAATTTTTTTCTACACTTTTGGGTGTATTTTGTGCAAGAAATTGCAATAAAATAGTGTGCCTAAGAAAAATTGAATTTTTTTGAAAATTTTTTTTTTACGAAAATCGCTTTAATGGTCATAAAATTGGTGTTCCTCTACTCGGATTTGGCTGACAATTTTTTTCTACACTTTTAGGTGTATTTTGTGCAAGAAAATGCAATAAAATAGTGTGCCTAAGAAAATTTGAATTTTTTTGAAAAATTTTTTTTTACGAAAATCGCTTTAATGGTCATAAATTTGGTGTTCCTCTACTCGGATTTGGCTGTCAATTTTTTTCTACACTTTTGGGTGTATTTTGTGCAAGAAATTGCAATAAAATAGTGTGCCTAAGTAAAATTGAATTTTTTTGAAAATTTTTTTTTTGACCTGGATGACATTTTGGTGCTTATAAAGGTCTTCCTCTACTCGGATCGGGCTGTCAATTTTTTTCTACACTTTTAGGTGTATTTTGTGCAAGAAATTGCAATAAAATAGTCTGCCTAAGAAAAATTGAATTTTTTTGAAAATTTTTTTTTGATGAAAATCGCTTTAATGGTTATAAAAATGGTGTTCCTCTACTCGGATCGGGCTGTCAATTTTTTTCAACAATTTTAGGTGTATTTTGTGCAGGAAAATGCAATAAAATAGTGTGCCTAAGAAAAATTGAATTTTTTTGAAATTTTTTTTTTCACGAAAAGCGCTTTAAAGGTCATAATAGGGGTCTTCCTCTACTCGGATCGGACTGTCGATTTTTTTCTACACTTTTAGGTGTATTTTGTGCAAGAAATTGCAATAAAATAGTCTGCCTAAGAAAAATTGAATTTTTTTGAGAATTCTAAGTAATTTCACATCTACTATACGTTGTTTTGACTTCATTTCCTGAACATTTCTAGAAGCTTATGTTTAAAGTTTTGATGATATTAAAATACAAACATAGATTTAAGATATAGTAAATAATAGTGTCACGTAAATATTTTACATAAGAAAAATGTTGAGAGCTTCTTCTTATGAATCAGAAGTTTGAAAGCAAAGTTTCACTACAGTTTAAACAAGTATTTTATTCGCAGCATCTTAAGTACTATTTTCAATTTAAATGGTACTCTGCGATTCCCAACGTTAGGCATGGAGGAAATGAGAATGAAACTATTTAGAAATCTACCATTTGGCTAATAATTTTCATTTTTTTAAATTGTTTTAAAAGTATCCTAACAAATATTAAAAAGAGTTTTAATAGTTCATTAAAAAATCGTTGTAATTGTATAATTTTTTTTCTTTAAATTAAAAAGGTCATTATTTATAACTACTGTTAACTAATTATTTATTGCCCGAGAAAAAAAATATAAAAAATTTATTTTTAAGAATCATAAAAGGGTTGCGCTCATTCCATATTCGCTTGGGCGCCATTTCGTCAAATGCCGATCCTGGTTACAGAATTCCCTGTAGATCAGTAAAAGTTAGAATAGCAGAAAAGAGGTAGAAAGCTTATTGACAAGTGATAATAAAAGTCAAACAAGAAGGAACTAAACTTGAACAATTTAAAAACTTGACTGTATGAAATATTTCATCTAATTTGTTAACAGTTAAGAAATTATTTTAAAGACGAAATGTAGAAATATTGACTAAACAGATCCAATTTACCTCAAAAAAATATATTATTTTCAATTCGAAAAAAACTCTTAAAAAATTCTCTTATACAAACTAAAACATTGATTGCTTAATTAAAATTAAAACTTCATTAAGAAATCGATAGAATTGTTTCCGTGTTGCTGTTTATGCATCCCCGTAATTGGCTAAATGAAAAAAATTAATTGCTTTGAAAAAATAAATTGATTTGAACGGTTTCTCGATGAACTTTTTTTTAGCCATTGTATAAGAATTTTTTTTTGCTACTATATAAGGTAGACGAAAATATCTTTTATTTAGAAATAAACATTTTCCACATACACAGAATATTCCATTTCTTTCATCAACTTTTTTCATCTAGTTTTCTTACGGCGTTTTGAAAGTTGAAGGACACTTTTATACCTTTTTATGTAAAAGTACTTTTAGTCTCACTATAGTTTATGGTGAACCGCGGGACTAGTTCTTTGCAGCGTCAGCGAACCGAATAAATTAGGCGAATTCCCTGCAGACTGTGACGCTATCCGCTCGTCAACGGTAAGTGAATCTCTTACTCCGTCTGCATGGCTCGCAGTCAAATCTCAATTAACAAACTCGAATTCAGTGGAAAATTCGAAAATTCCATCAAAGTTCTTGAAAGCGAGGAAATCACAAAGCATTTGAAAAAAGCACATTTAAAAGTCATATAATTGAAAAATAACTTCGTTTCATTTTTTTTTTCTATTAATTCAAGTGGAAATTCAATCTTTCACTTCAAATTTCATTTTAGATTCATTAATAATAATTACATACAGACTAAACACTAAAATATTCACAAAAAAAGAGCTATCTGAGTTGTGAATTTATTTTTTTAATATTTTAAAATATATTAAGAAACAAATATTATAAATGAAAATTAGATGTAACGAGCTTGTTGATTCCTTTACTTAGGAAATTTCGGTCGAGAACTGCAGATTGCAAAAATTTAACATTTTTAAAAAATTTTATCGATTGAAAATATAAATGTAGAAAAATTTTCTCTTTTCAAAAATTAAATATCTATTTTATTATTTATAATACCTTCTACTGTGATGTGAATACACTATATATATATATATATATATATATATATAAACTAGAAAAAAATGACTTATACAATTATAATTTTTCTTTTTCACAGACTATTTGTGACCTGGTTGCACGTAGAAAATTTATAGTTCTCGAGATCAAGTCTAACAAGGAACCGGACATATATAGAACATCTACTTGGCGTCGCACTCAAGAAGTGGTGCAAAAAATTACCTAATGGTTTTCTACTCAAGACAGTGCATTCGTCACAGTTAAATTGAGTGACAGAACAACCACTTATTTTCATTTTTTATAAGCAACTACTTCACTCATAACCGATACATTTATAATAAAGAAAAAGCATCTTGTGAGCTTTTCACAATATCATAATGCTCTAAATAAAATTTTAATTCTCATTCTTATTTTCCAACTTTATTAATATATCAATAGTACTTTCTTTTAAATCGAAACTAATACAAAAATATATTTATAATGAAAAAGGTTTTTTTATTTACAGATTTACTAACACATTTCTTTTCGCAATTTCAGGAACATTCTATTTTCTTCCGCCTCAGGTCATTCTTAAATAATTTCTGAACTAGTTTTTAGTATAAAACTGAATTTAGCACCAAGAGAAGAAATATCGTTACTGAAGAGGGAACAAGTGCTTGAAGGCCTTTGGAAATTGACGACCCCGGATGTATTTATTTTAGAGGCTGCTTCAGGGACTGGAAGACAAATTCGCGGTAACGCTATAGGCGAATAGAGGGGAAGAAAATCGTAGAAAGTCTCGAGGTATATATGAAGTAAAATCAATACTGAAACGCAACTGCCAAGTAAAGGAAAAAGAAAGGTGGCATTTATTTTGAAGATTGATGTGCGAATTTACGATATACAAAAGTTTTTTTTTGTCGACAGTAGTAGTAGCAGCTTGTTTATAAAGTAGACTACTACCGGAAATACATCAAGTAACTAAAAGGTCATAAAATCAATCAAAACTTTTCTCTTGCGAAAAAAGCTTTTTACTTTAAATGACACTTTTAATTAAAGCTTAGGAAAGGAGAAGAATTTACCGCTTTTTCAAATAGACTCATGAGAGTCAAATTTTATACAACACTAGGATCTGGTTACATGAGATTGCTTGGAATGGCTTTGCACTGGGTAGCAAAGTTATGCTGGACTAGAAATTTTTTTTACATATGTATACAATATTATTAATAATTTTTTATTAAAACGTTATATAAAATCATGTGTTTGGTCATATATATATTATGTCATATTAATAATTAAATGTTTTACAACAATGTTGTATAATTTAAAATTTTTAAAATTTTACAGTAACATCATAGAGAAAGTAGAGCGAATTTACCCTTTGTTGTTTCTGGAAAGTTTACAACTCAATTTGAGGTCGCTACTAACAAATCAACACAACTTATTTGAAACAACTACTGTGTATAAAATTATAAACCATTGTCAAGTTTTTGTAAAATTTTTTTTCCGTTTGTTTCATGATAACTTTTCCTTAATCATAGAAATAGAAATTAGAACCTACATAAAAAAATTAAAAAGTTTAAAGCCTAAAACTAAGGGGTATAATTAATTTGTCAATATTTAAATGTCAATAAAATTTTTTGCAAGTAGGACATAGGTTTACAAATAGATTAATCAATGCGTATTTAAATCGTCTGTATTGTAGTAACGATATTATTAGAGTTCATCCATTTTTTAAAAATGGAACCATTTTTTTATAAATTTTTAAAACGCCAATAAATTTTCCAACTTATATCGTATACATGACTTGAAAATAGGTCAATCGATGCAATTTTAAAATCTGTATAGTTTTATTACATTATATAAAAACTTTCATTAACATTTAATAACGAAAAAAAGTTACGTTCCTTAAAATAATGATGATAATTGTGAAGTTGATTTTGATTCTTTCTCCTTTAGCTGGAATTTAGAATATTCAATTAAATATCGCCTTTTTGGATCAGGTTTGAAAAAAGTATGGAACTATTTGATTTTAGTTTGGATGCCAACGTTTCGGTCTCCGATTGAGTGCCATAATCGGGGCAAAAATTTTTTTTATCTCCAAAAACAAAGGTTGTAAGAAGTGCTCGAAAAGCTAGGAAACAGGAAGGTGACGGTTCTAAGACCCATCGAGCGAGGGATGAAGCTTGCAGTTGTAGTCACCGACCTCGAAGTGTCGGACAGGCTGAAGCATTTAGGGTACAAAAAGGTAGGTTTCATGTCGTGCCAAATAAAACAAAGAGTGTTCATCACTATGTGCCATCGATGCTTTAATGACATCCACATAGGAAAATGGAAGGGTCGCGAAAGCGAAATCCCAGGGACCTTCACCTACGAAATTTAAAACGTACCAGCAATTCCGTGTGAGGATTAGTCCAGCCAAAAGGTCTGGTTTTTAGTGGATCGACTAGAACAAAAACGTTCATCCCCACATAAACTCGGAACACTGGGCTTCAGGTATCTGCCTTGGATATCAAAGGTCATGCAAATTTTCCACTTCCCTCGTAAAAAACAGATTAGGATAAATAAGAATTGGGATATGTAAAGATAAGTAGGAAATAAGAATTAGGTTACAAAACGGTTAGATCAAATTAGAGTTAACTCAAATGGTGATCAGACCAAACGAAGATTAAATCAAGTTTAGGGCAAATAAGAATTAAAACTAATACAGATTAAGCCAAGTGAGAATTAGGTCATATGATCATCAAATTAATTTATTAATTAATGAATTTTTAATAACTCTCACTCCTTCAGGTATGAGGTCAAATTTTTTTCTATTTATCAGTCATAACAGACATCAAAATTAAATTAAAACTCCTAATTTAAAATGAAATTACTGTGGAGATGTGACACTATATTTCTCCGTGAAATTTGAGATTGAAATGTTATGCAGTAGATTTAAAAGCGAAAACGAATCTTCTTAATGGAAAGATATTTGATGAATGCGCCACTTAATATAATATACACAAATTGCATCCACATTTTCAGCGCGAAAACATTCCCCGAAGGTTAAAAGATTATGCTGGTAATCCAAACTTACCTCAGGGATGTCGCTTACATCGACTGCTGATTAAAATTTAAGCTCTGCTTACATGTCCCATCATCCAATCAGCTTGGGAAATTGCAAAGTTAGGCTTTACTTAAATATTAAATAGATATGTCGCAACCGAGTTTTCCACGAAAAGTGATGCTTCATTTCAAAATTAGTTATTCAAAATATTAATCCTTTCGCGGTGAGCAACATTCAGGAAAAATGTGGTCATCTGATGGATGCAATGAATTATAAAAGTTCAGAGTTTAAATTCTCAAGTTATCCCATAATTTTTAGAATTTATTAAAAACAATAAGATCATTTATGAAAGCACTTTGAAAACATGTTTATCAGTCATTGAAACATTTAAAATAAATCTTGGTACTTTGAGAAACAGTGCTGACTAATATTTCGAATAATTTACAGTAAAAGTAACGTTAAACCAAATATAAATTTTATTACTTTTCGATTTATTTCGGCGCTAAATCTAAAAAGTGGTTTTTCATTTGAAAAACATGAAATAAATAGTGAAACGCTCCAGAACTGTATATATATGGTGGCATCGACAAAACTTTGATATTTACAGACCTCACGTTGAGTTTATTACTGGAGTTTATTTTCCGCGTATACATAGAAGCGTACGGACGGCTTTCGCATTTGTGTCAACGAGAATGTTCCAAGATTTATAACACTTTTTCCCCACCAAACGTAACGCGTATACAAACTGATCCTTTGAAAGAATGAGCAACAACAGTGTTTCAATGTATATTGTAAAGGGAGCTGGAGAAAAATCGAAATAAAAAGGGTGAAAGAAGAGAAAGATTGGGTTGGCCATGCAAATTACTCGTTCAAATATTTACTTGAGATTGTGCGAATCCGTCAGGAATTTTATGGAGTCGACAATCTGATGCTGTTTGACGATAAAAATCCTCAATACTTTTTGTACGATAAAAGTATCGTTTATTTATTTTCCTTTATACTTGAGTGCTAAAAGAAATAAATTATCTAGAATTTTACATTTTACAAGTATCTTCTTTTTAAATTATTACGTTTTAAATAGAAAATATAAAAAAAAAATTCTTAAACTGTAGCGTGAGTAGAGAAATGTTTCTAAACAAGAGATGGCAAATAGCTGCAAGAAAGAAAAACGTTTCTGTGGAAACGAGATCAATATTTCAAAAACGACCCTGGGAGAAAACCCATATAAGCTTTTCCTCCTCTTTTCAAGAGGGTAACTGATTTTCCGAGTGAGTACACCCACATTTGCAGTTATTACACTGGTCATTGCGAAATTACTTGCGCACGAAATTACAAGAATGAAAAGAATCTAACGAAGTAAGAACCGCTTGGGTTAATGGATAGAGATCACGAGAAATTTCACGAAGAATTATCCTTTAAATTAAATGTATGCATGGACTTGGGAAATTTTTAATTTTTATCTTAAAACATCTTGCGTCTTTTTTTCCTTTATATTTTTTTTCTAAGAAAAATAAAAACTTGAAAGATACAATTAAGAATTTTAAATTTGAATAAACTTTGAGAAAAAGTTTTCAAATGACAATATTCGATGTACATTTATATATTCAAGAAAGTCTGTCAAACTAACTAGATTCTAAAACAGTTACAATAGTGGAAATGAAGTTAATAGGAGTCTAACCAATGCTTGGCAAAAGTTAACTCAGCGAATTAGTTTGGAAGAGTCTTTCACTAGCAAAATTCATTTGCCTGAACATCTGAAACTACGCGATGATTTATAGTACTCTCGGCATAACTTGTATTTAAAATAAATTAGCCAAGTTATTTAAATATTTATGCAAAAATAAATTACATTAATTTTTGGTTTCTACATTTCTCTTTAAATTAAATTTACACAAATTAAATTAAATAATCTTATTGAATCGAATTCAAAAATTTAATTTTGATAATGCATTACATAAAATTTAACATTAAGTCAGTGACAAAAAAATCTATTTTAGCCAAAGACAAATTTCAAAATAAGTAGAGCGGAATTTGCCTAGGATACAGTACAATCCATCACTTAAAACAATGAAAACCACTCTCTCTCTTCCCCACCATTGTTTCAGTTCAAAGTTTTCGAGGGTGTAATTGAGATAGCAAGATAAGAGTTTTATTACAATGTATTTGCTTCTCGGGGTTTAAATTGATACATCTACTGTCTCAAAAATTTAGTTTGTCGTGAAAAGATTTTTTTTTATGTAATGAAAATTTTAGTTTAGAAAAAATATTAAATTTTTCTTTTTTATTTTGTCGACGTAAACATTAGTAACATCAGTTTCATTTATACCCCTGTCTATGTCTTGAAAGTCAAATATTGAAATCGTGCCAAGAAAGAACAATTCGAACTTTGCTTGACAAAAATTTCAGTATGTTCCCACAGTCTTATTTTATTACAGTTGACCATGACATTGTAAAAGAATATGTAGAGCAATGACATTTCTTGAATTTTGATCTTTTTTTTAGGCGGAAAAATAGGAGAAAAAATAAATCTTTTATTTTGTCAATTCCTGTGCTCAGGAAGGTTGACGGGCCGAGGTGATGACCACAGGTCCAGAGTTCAATAAGCCGTGATGAAAACCCAAACAATGAGATTCTTCCGCAAATGGAAAGAAAAGATGATTTTCCAAATATTGTGACAGGATAATCGTTGAATATTTGGAAGAGTTCTTGTAGATGTAGAAACTTCTAACACTTGATTTGAAAATTCTTCTAAGTCGAACTTAAGTATGAAATCGAGCAGAGTAACAATACTTGTATAAGATTTCGTATATGAACATGACGTGCACTAAAATCTGAACTGATCTCACCTGGCAAATGTAGTATATTTTCATTTTAAATTATTTTTGAGTACGTTTTGCTTTGTATTATTACAACTTGAAAAGTTAAAAATAAATAATTTGACGGAAAGAATCAAGTCGTTGATTAAAATAGTGAATATTGAAGTATGCCTATTAATACCATTCGAGTTTGTGGATTCTTGAAAAACTTGTTGCCGTTCGCAGGCAAAGTCCTGAGGGGCATCTTAGTCTGCTTGTTAAATTGGAAAGTAAGATGAAAGAGGGTTCTCTCTCCGTCTAATCGGGGTAGAATTGTTGATGGCGTGGTTGTGCTTAAGAAGACCCAACATATTCTAGCGGATGTTGGAAGCCGTTTGATGGAGCCTCGATAGCGTTAAACTACGCCTAGAAGGGTGGTGCTTTCAGGTGGTACTGAACTCCCAAATGCAACTGTATACTATATTATTAATACGGGAAACTCGTACATGTAGGCGCGCAAAGAGAAGTGGGCTTGCATGCAATGGATGGGGTGCCGATATATCGAAGGAATCGCACTCAGTGGATTACAGACTAGATGCTAAAAGGTCACGTGCACTTGTGGCCAAGCCATATACCGGAAAGATACCGTCAGACTGTCGGGAATGATTCTCACTCTTAGAATTTACGATCTCTCATTCCACGTTTCCGGAATATCGTACGCCCTGGGCAATAACTCGGAATACGTCGCCGAGAAGTACAATACAGTTTAAAAGGCGTCTCAGTTAACCAGCCCAGAGATATTACTT